TTCTGCTGGCAGGTGCTGCTTCAGGCTGCTGATGCAGCCACAATGGAGGCCTGGATCGGCGCAATTCGGGAAGCTGCTGGTGCCGCTGCCGCTAACGCGCCAGGTTGGAATGTGTGTCGCTGTATGCGGCTGGGTGCTTGTGGGAATGTGTATTCACACGTGTGTGTGTGTGTGTGTGTGTGTGTGTGTGTGTGTGTGTGTGTGTGTGTGTGTGTGTGTGTTGGTGATCATGTGTGCTCCGTCTGTCACTTGCGTGTCTCAAGTGCGCGCCATCCCCAATCCCTCATGGTGCTCACGCCTTCTTTTGTTGCCCGCTTGCTTCCAAAGACGCGTCGTCTGCCGCTCGGCCCCGACTGGACACGACTGCGACTGTTGCAAAGCCGCAACAGCAGCAGCAGCAGCAGCAGCCGCCGGACGCGGCGTCTTCGGGTTCAACGCGCTCACCCGCAACCCAGAGGAAGCAGCAGCAGCAGCAGCAGCCCAAGCAAGTCAAGGGCAAACGTTCCATTTTCGGCTTCAAGCGCTAGGGCGGTGATAGGTAGACGTGTGTGGAGGGGGGGGGGTGTTTGATGGGGAGACAGAAAGAGCTCGGCTGTGATTTTATTCAGGACCACGCGAATAAACATTCAGAGAAGACAGCAGCATTGCGCGTATGTAAGAAGGTTCGGGGGCGGGGGCGCAGCGTGAGCTAAAAAAAAAAAAAAAAGAAAAGAAAAAAGAAAACTGGGGAAGAGGAAGCGCAGGCAAAGACGGCAAGTGGTGGCGTTCAGTGTGTGGTGAATGGTTCTCGCTGGCGGCGTGTGCACTCCCGCTTTCTGCTTGCAGGTTGCGTGTGTTGATTTTCAGGCGATGCAGCTGTTGTCTTTGTTATTGTACTGAACGTACAGTGGTCAAGCTGCGTGGTCTGAGTTGGGGCTTGTGAGAGGGGTACGCTGCTTGTGCGTTGGGGCAAGGTTCACGACATGGAGTAATGTGACATTCAGTTGTGTCAGTTATGGTTTGGGCTGCTGTTGGCATGCGCGCGCGTGTGTGCGTACGTGCGTGCGTGCGTGTGTGTGTGTGTGTCGTTTCTCTCCATGCAGCCATGCAATGCACTATTTGTCGACACTGTCGCTGTCACACTGTACGAAGAGCGGTCCTGTGTTTGTGTACGGGGCAGAGGAAAAAGGCACAACAAAAGGGAGTGTGAACGAATGGGAACCTACGAAGCAACGACACAACAAGCAATGAAAAAAAAAAAAAAAAAAACACTAACAAACAGCTGGAGACAAGGGAGATCAATCGAAGAGGAGGAAGAAGCACCGATCAGGAATGCGGAAGCGGCTTAGTTGAGGCTGCCCAATTGCTTCTGCAACTCGTCCAAATCAAGATCATCGGCGCCCTCCACAAATCCAGAGGTCTGCAGTCATAAAGAGGACACACACGCACACACGAAACGCATCGCCACAATATGTCAGCAACAAGCACGGCTGTTCAGAACGCGGCGTCTGAACACAACACAACACAACACAACACAACACAACACAACACACATACACGCAAGTGCACGTACCCCTTCCTCCTGCTGCGGCTTGTCTGTGTGGTCGTGTTCGTAGCGAAGGCCCGGCGCAACGGCCGTCTTGTCTTCCTCAGGAGCAGACTCGTCCACAAGGCAGATGCCAAACGTCTCCTCGTGCACGACTGGCGTGAAGAAAGCGCAAGATGCGCAGCCACATACATGAGCACGGCAGTGTACCACAATGTCAGTGATCGACCAACACATAGCAATGGAAGGGAGATCTTATCTGCACAGTCACACACACACACACACACACATACACACACACACACGTACACGCATGCACACTCACACGTGCACGCACACACACGTACACACACACACACGTACACGTACACGCACAACGCACCTGGTGCCTCCTCCTGTGCCTCCTGTGCCTCGTCTGGTTCGGCGGCCTTCCTCTCTGCATACTCCTTCTGCGCCGCCTGACAGTCGTCGACGCTACAGTCTGGGTTGGGCTTCATTGTGTACTGCGGGAAGAAATCAGAGAGGGCGTTGTAACCGAGATAGTCGCTCACTTTGCCAAACTGCAGCAGATACCTGCACGTGCAAAGGTGTGCCAGGGCGGGTCGAGAATGGGCGTGTGCATGTGCACGCGAACATATACGCGGGTGAGAAGTGAGCCAGAAGCGATGCACACCACAACCATTTCGTGCTGAACAGTAAAACCAAAGATGCAAAACACAAAACGAAACAAAAACAAAACACAACACAACAAGAACAGCTCTTCAAGGCCCAGCAGTGGGTCGGCCGGTCGGGTGGTCGTAGTGCCATATGACACAAGCAACTCCATCCCCCCCCCCAATGTCAAAGCACGATTCACCGCACTTGAGAGCGTTTTGAACGAGGAGGCCGGCAGTGATGCCCATGGTTGTCGGGAGCGACGCAGCGCACACCCCCTCCCTACACGCCAGAGAACACACGGCAGTGGAGCAGGAACAGTCATAGCGAAAGAGAGAGAGAGAGAGAGAAAGAGGGTGTGTGTGTGTGTGTGAGCGAGAGTCGCGTCAAAGCAATGAGCCCTTGGTGCAGCTGAGGGTGCTGGTGCTAAGCGTCGTATCGCCTCACCTCTTGAGCGTTCGCTCGTCAATCTCCGACGCAACGACAAGTGGCGGTGCGCACTGGAATACGTGGTGTCATGTGCAGATGTGCGTGTACAAGCGTGTCATCGTGAGTTTGTGTCAGTGTTTGTGCGCGTTTGGTTATGTGCATGTGAGCGAGAAGACACACACACACACAAACAACACACATACAACACACACACACAAGCACACACAAGCACACACACACATACACGTGGACATGCATATGTAGGCACGACCAACCTCGAAGCAAGCCGTGCGGCCTGGGGAGATGAACTGAATGTGGCCTGAGACGGCATTCTCGCTCACGCCAGACTCAATCCAATCCTGCCGAAGCTCCATGCACGCCTGCACCACCACGCCGCGAGCACAGGCAGCGTGAGGAAGGGCATGTGCATGCATGTGTGTGCGTGCGACGGTACGTCGTGTGGCGGGTGCATGATGCATGCTCATGCTGTGTTGTGCAGGGAGGCGGCAGCACTGGAGGCTTGTACGCCACCGGCAGCAACTGCCACCTCCTTCACACATCCTCTTCCTCCTCTTTTATCAACTTGTACCCTGTTGACGGCAATGCGGGCGCCAAAGTTGTCGACGCATCCGAGCACAAGCGAGACGGCACCATCGTCGATACCGCCGGTCCTGTACACACGCACACACACACACACACACACACAGACACACACACACACACACACACACACACACACGCATACACGCGCACACACATACACACACATACACATGACAGGAACTGGTGAGCAGTGTGCGTTGTACCCGGTTCGTGCGTCTGTAGCGTTTGCTTTGCACAGGTGGCCAGCGGGCATGGTAAACGGAACATGCACGCGTGGAAACTGACTTGATGATGTCCATGAACTTGGGGTAGTTGTCCACAGTGGTGATGTCCATGCAGTATGCCTCAATGTCAACATCAGGGTTGATGAAGCCAAGCGTGCGCTTTGCAGCTTCCACCTTGAGGATGAACACGGGAGCACGTGGACGGCGTGAGCAAGAGCGCTGCGGTGCCGTGACGATGTGGCAAGAAAGAACTGCCTCAGATGCATTTGCATGTGTTCACACGCAATTGTTGACATAGTGGCTTTGCGCACACAGACATACAGACACACAGGCACATGCACGCAGACACACACAGAGAGAGAGAGACACACACACAGGCACATGCACGCAGACACAGAGAGAGAGACACACACACACACACAGAGAGACACACACTCATACACACATTCATACACACACAGACATGCACACATGCACACATGCGCACCTTCGTCAAGCCGGCTTGGTGTGGCTGGAAAAAGAGGCGGTTCATGTTGGCCATTTCAACCTTGTCGTAGTCAAACATGATCAACTGCGAGCGAGCAAGCATGCGTTGAGGGTGAGCAATCTACAGCTTTGGCAAAGCAAAGGCGTCGCACAACAAACAGCTTGATACGCAACAGCACACAAAGAGCAGCAAGCATATAAAGTGTGCCGGTGGGTTGGTTTGTTCATGGCAGCGGATCATCGGAGACTGCCCGAGCGACCACGCACCTTTCCAACGCCACAACGGGTCAGCATCTCTGCAGTGACACTGCCTACGCCGCCAACGCCAACCACAACAACAGCGGCCTTGCGGATATCCTCGTACCGCTCCACAATCTTCATGCGCTGCAGCGCCATCAGCCGGCTACAGGCAGGCATGAACGTATGCGCGGGTGTGCATGGGTGTGTGTGTGTGTGATCGTGTGCATGAGGGTATCGTACGCGCGCATGTGCATGAGGGTATCATGTGTGAGCGTGGTTGTATGTGACATGCACACATACACATGCACACACTCATTCACACGCACACACATGGACACACTCATACGCACACGCACACGCACACACCTGTAAGGGTTGGAGTCCACGACTTCGGCGCTCATGTGTGCGATGCGGGGGCGTGCCTGCTGCTCTGCGACGCGAGCCTTGAGCTCAGCCACCTCTGCGCGTAGCCGCTCATTCTCAACCTTCAAGTCCTCCGCAGACGACATTACTGTTACGTTGTGCTGCTCTGTTTTGAGTGTGTGCTCTGCGCGTGTGTGGTCTGTGGTGTTTGTGGTGTGCCGTGTGCTGTGCTGTCTTCTTGGTGTCTCTGTTGTTCTTGTGCGACGTCGTTGTATCTTTTTGTATGTCGTGTCGTCGTGCGCTCCGCCTGTGTTTCTGCAAAGTCAGCGAAACCTGTGTTTTCGGGCCTGTCGTCGCAGCACTCACTCACCCATTTCCCACAGGCCACACCCACACGCCCAACAGCCCTCACATCCTTCAGTCCATCCCTTGCCCGTGAAGTGTGTGCTTGGTTGCTTGCGGTGTGGCGACATCAGCAGCCGTCATCGTCACGTCAGCGTTCGTGACTGTTCGTGAAAAGGGGGCGTGGAGCAGAGCCGTAGAGGGCACTGACGACAGACGCAAACACACTGCACTGGTGGCAAGTCTTTTTTGTTTCTCTTTTTGTTTGACGTGAGTGTGGGGGGACGTCACATCATCCGGTTTACGTCATCATCCCAGCATATCTCAAAGCAAGGGAAAAGCAGTTTCGCTTCCCAGTGCAGTGCGCAGCCAGCTTCGTGAGCCGTTTGCTTTGGAGCGAGGCGTGTTTGCGACCGAGCGAGGGTGATTTGACAACACTTGTTTGAGTGTTTGGGTTTCCACTCATCCACCTTCTGCAGGAGCTCCTCCTTCTTGTCTTGCAAGCCATTTTCTCCATCATCGACCTCGACGACCTGGCACTGTCGAAGGCGCATCACAGTGCCGCTGTTTGCTTTGCACAAGCACAAGCAAGAAGATGGAGCGCCGCACAGCGCTCACCGTGCTCTTGGCGGCGATCGCCGGCCTTGGTCTCGTTCTCGGTGGTGCGGAACTAGCCACCGCTGCACCTGACGGCTGCAACGCTTGCCGTGAAGTGGCATCTGAGGATCCAACACCAGGCCTCTACCTCTCCCTCGACTACAACCCGTAAGTTTCAAAGCGAAGATGCGCTGATCGATCCGCTGCCTGGGGTTGGTTGCGTTATCCTCGTGAAAATGCGCAGATGCTCATGTGCGCTGTGTTCTGCTGTGGCTTTTGCAGGAACGACAACAGCACCTTTCACGAGGACACTGGCATTTGGAACATCAACGGCAATTCCTCCAAGGTACGTGCACGTGCTACCAGGGGGTGCCTTCGGCGTTCGCCTGGACAAAGTTTGGTGGAAGGGGGAGGGGTCTGGGGGTGGAACGGCCCGCAAGTGTCCGTCCTTGTTCACACACACACACACACACACACACACACACACACACACACACACACACACGCACACACACACACACACACAGACACACAGACAGACAGACACACACACGCGCGCGCGCACACACACACACACACACACACACACTGGCACGTTTGACGACGCTGAGTTGACTCGCTTGTTGTCGCTCCACTGCAATTGCCTTTGGTGCGGTAGATTCTGATTGAATCTGAGGTGCACAACTACGTCATTGTCAGCTACCGCCTGACCTTCCCCGCAGGCTGTTGCACGGCCTCTCACGCCAGCGTCGAGCTCTATGCGCAGTACGTCCCGCACCGCCTGCTGTTGAAGTATCGCTTGTCTCAACACGCCACACGCTGCCATCCTACGGCCCTCTTTCACACACACACACACACACACACACACACACACACACACACACACACACACACACACACACACACACACACACACACACACACAGGGAGACGTATCAAGGGTCTTTCATGCGGCTGAATGGTGCCACGAATGTTCCCATCTCCCCAGACATGACACTCGAGCTGCCCGCGTGTAACAATGCCCCGCTTCAGGTACACACAAGTGGTGCCATGTGTCTTGTGTGTCACGTCTTCCGTCTTTCACGTCAAGTGCACCCTGCACACTTAACCCTCCACACACACACACACACACACACACACACACACACACACACACACACACACACACACACACACACACACGCACACACACACGCACACACACACACACGCACACACACACACTCGTTGTCCCACCCACAAATGCACACACACATACTCGTTGTCTCACCCACAAATGCACACACACACACACACCAGTCGTGGATGACGTACGCGCTGCATGTGCGGCCTGAAGGGGGCGGAACACTCACGGTGAGCGACATTCAGCTCATCCGGCAGACGTGCAACCGCACATCCGGCGGGGACGTGTTTGGTGTCATTCCACACCGCGTTGACGAATCGAGCGACATCACCATCTACGGCGACTCAATCAACATGTACCACAACCTCGTGGCCGTGTACCCGCCGTCAGCCGGCATCACGGGCGCCAGCGTCAAGAGCTCCACGTCCGGCAAGGCTGTGGTCTCCATCCACCCGTACCTGAACAACTTCGAGACCCTGGCAGACGTCAAGTTTGTGCTGACGTCCTCCCTTGGATTCGCCTCACCCATCACCATTGAGAACGCCGTGCGGGTTGGGCCGTTCCCCGCCATCACTTTCATCACGCCAAGCTTCGTCTCCCCACCAGAACAGGCCACCGTCGGCGGCAGCGGCTTTTACGGCAGCAGCGGTGGTGTTCGCGCCGTTCTGACGCTGGACAATGGACAGCTCTCGCTGCCCAGCAAGTACGAGCTGCAAGTCGACTTTGCCAACGACACCATGGTCACGTTCACCGTGGGTGCGGGCGTGCCCAATGGCGCGTACTTGCTCACCATCAGCAACGCCGACGGCGACACGGCAACCATCAACGCCTTCATCGTTGCAGGCGCCCCCGTCATCACAGCTGTCCAGCCGCCACAGGGCCGGCCGTCGGACCTCGTCACCATCATTGGCCGCAACCTCAATATGGTCTCAGATGTCGACTTTGCCACAGATGGTTTGGAGGTCACCTCAAGCAATGCTACACACATCATTGCGCGGCTGCCACAGTCCCCAGCTGCCACGCGCGCAAACATCACCGTCAGCACCTTTTCTGGCTCTGCACTCTACTCGTACCCGCTGCTGGTGGTCACGCAGATCACGCCGAGCGCGCCAGTCCCAGGGCAGCTGGCGAACATCCACATCTCCAACATCGAATCCCAGCCGGCGTCGTTTGTCGACCGCGTCACGGTTGATGGTGCCATCGCTCCCATCACTGGCTTTGCCAACGGAGCCATCACCATCGACATGCCGTCGCAGTTCCTGAACAGCACTGGCATTGCCGTCATCTTGGCCGACGGCCGCACCATCCAGGCGTCGCTGGGTGTAGGCGTCCTCTTTCACACCATGACGCCGCGTGTTGGCGTGCCTGCCATGGAGGTCACGTTCAAAGGCCAGTTTGATGGGCTCGACCTGAATCCCTACTCCATAACTCTGGCGGGCACGCAAGTCGGGTCCGTGAAGAAGTCGACACCAACCGAGATTGTCGTCGCGGCCGACGCTTACAAGGGCAACACACCACCCAATGGTGGTGTTTCGGTTATCATTCAGCCGGACACGGTGGCGCTGCCGCAGTTCTCCTTCACGTATGTGACCCCGGCCATCACCGCCATCTCCGCCCCAGTCACTTGGGAAGGGCACATCTTGACGTTGTACGGCGTCAACCTCATCGCACCCTCTGAGCCGTCCATCCTGTATGGTGTTGCACTCGACAACTTTGAGAAGTATCCCATGACCATCCTGGCTGCCAGTGACACCCAGATGGTTGTTCGCACCCCAGCAGATGTCACGCCCAATCCCCAGCCGGCACAATTGCGGTTGGTCTGGAGCGACACCCTTGCCACAGTTGCAATTGGACCCACCATCATCCCCACACCGCAAATCACCGGCCTGGCATCTGCCACGGCCCTGCCGTCGCAGGTGGTGGTGCTGCTTGCGGAAGACATCCCGCTCGGGTACGGGTTCCAGGGCGCAGTGTACATTGCCGGCACGCAGGCAGTTGTCCTGGACATCACAACCACCAACATCACCGCCATTGTGCCGCCCACGGCCCGCTCAACAGACAACGCCGACGGCAGCGGGGCGGTGGACCTGGAGGTGTACGTCGACAACTCGCCCGTGCAGGTGCAGGGCAGCGCAGCGCTGTCGCTGTACGCGCCCGTGCAGATCACGGAGGTGACGCCGATAACGGTGTCTGAGGGCGTGCGTGTGACGCTGACTGGCCAGTCGTTTGTGGCTGGGGGCGTGGACGCGACGTCTGTGACGGTGGACGGGGTGGATGCTGTTGTGGAGAGCGTGACGGAGACGGCGATTGTGCTGCGCATGCCTGCGCTGGCGAGCCGGGTGGGAACGCGGGCGGACGTTGTGTTCTCTGTGCGGGCGACGGCGCTGTATGGGTCGCCGAGAGTGCAGGTGACGCGGTCTGTGCGCGTGATTTCATCTGGCGGCATCACGGAGGTTGTGCCAGCCAAGTGGAAGGCCGGGGATGTGGTGCGGATCTCGGCGCAGCGGGGCACGGCACTGAGCACGCTGGTTGACATTGGGGCGTCTGTTGTGTCGCGGGTGTTGTTTGGGGAGACTGAGCTGCCAGTGGTGAGGGTTGGGAACGGGGCCATTGTTGTGCAGCCTGGGGCGGCTGGGAACGCGCTTGCTGCTGGGGACCCGCTTGCGATTGAGCTTGTGAACGGGGCGTATGTGCGCGTGGCGAGCACGACGTGCCGGTGTGAGGCGAGCGTGATTGGTGGCGTGTCGTGGCCGGGGGTCATTGGCTGCACTGTGCCCTCGCGCACATCCTGCAGAGGCCCCGGCGTCCTTCCAAACCGATTTGCTTATCGCTATTGCACTCTCCGAGTGAGTTGCGTGCTCAACATGTGTGTGGTTGCTTGTGTGTGTGTGTGTGTGTGTGTGTGTGTGTGCGTGTGTGTGTGACTACCTTCGAGCTTTGTAGTTGACCCACATGTTGATGATCATTTGTTATATTTCCACTTCTCACCCCGTGTTGATGCGGCAACGTTGTTGTTGGTGCTATTGTGCATCCTCAGGATGTGTTTTCGGCAACCGTGAACACGACGGAGTGCGTGAACCAGAAACTGCGTGATCTGACGACCCGCACCATCTCCACTGACACCGTCAACTCCGTACTGGAGGAGCTCACCAACATCACCCAGCATGCGCCGCTTTTCGCGCCAGACGACGTTGGTAACGCCTACAGCATCATCACAAACGCAACCGGTCTCCTTCGCACAAAGAAGCTTGGGCGTCGCACCTTCCAGCTCATTTTCCGCGGCGCGAGCGACCTGATGGCTGTCGATGGCTCTGTGCTGGAGCAGTCCGCACGCACGCGGGGCACCCCTGTTAGCCGCATCCCTTCGATTGTGGAGCGCTGGACGGACGGGCTCGTTGACGTGTTGTTGGATGACCAGGCGTCTGTGCAAGTGGAGGAGAACATCATCTTCCTCGCGTACCGCTTTGGTTCTGCACGCGCGGCGTTCAAGGGCAGCGCCAACCAGGTCAACTCGTCCTGTGCGGGATGCAGCGTGCAAGAGGCTGGCGGCGGGAATATGCCCCTGCTCGTGTCGTCCCCCGTCAACTACAGCATTTCTTCCACAGATGTACAGGGTGTCTCTGTCACGCTGTTCCGCGATTCGCGCCTGTTTGCTGGGGGCCAAGTGAGCAACCCCGTCCGCAACAGCACAACTGAGGCGGCCTCCCTGCTCAACCAGACGTTTGTCGACTCCCCCGTCATCTCCATCCAAACACGGCGGCTGGATGGCGTCCCATTTGAGGGAGAGGTGCGTTTTCGTTGCTCGCGCGTGTGTTTGTGTCTGTGCGTGTGCATGTGCTTGCGCTTGCGCCCTTGTGAACCTGTGTGTGCGTGTGCTTGTGGTTGCGTGCTGTGTGTGTGTGTGTGTGTGTGTGTGTGTGTGTGTGTGTGTGTTTCCATGTGCGTACGGGTGTATGTGTATGCGGGGTTTGTGCTCGTGAGCTGCCGTTGCGCTTTCCCCTCACTTGCGCTTCGCTCCACCCTGTGCATGGTGTCAGGTTGAGTTCAGCCTTCCAGTTGGCTATCTCGACAACAACACTGCAGGGGAACGCGTGTGTTCATTCTGGCGTGTGCCAAGAGCATCAGGCGAGAGCGCGGGCTGGTCTGATGTTGGCTGTCAGCCGGTCTCCATCAAGGACGGCTTCCTGACGTGCCGGTGCAACCACCTCACCAACTTTGCCATCCTCGCCAACTTTGGAGGCGGCGGTTCCACATCATCCACGGACAAGAAAGCCCTGAGCTTCATCACGTACATTGGTGTTGGGGTGTCTGTGTTCTGCATGGTGCTGACGGTTGGCGTGTACCTGTGGTACAAGCGGCTGCGGGAGGACCTTGGGCGCATCATTGTGATGCACCTGTGTGTGACGCTGACGATATCGCTGTTGTGCTTTGCCTTTGGCATTGAGGAGACGAGCCACACGGACACGTGCACGGCGATTGCGATTGTGCTGCACTACTTTCTGCTGAGCGCGTTTGCGTGGATGGTGGTTGAGGGGTATCACCTGTACTCGACGTTTGTTGTTGTGTTTCACGGGAGCCACCGGTCTGACCGGCGGCAGCACGTTCGGTTTGCGGCGTTTGCGTATGGCGTGCCGGCGCTGATTGTGCTTGCGACGGGCCTTGTGATTGGCGAGGAAGGGTGAGTTGCTGCTGCGTGTGGCGTGTGGTGTGCTCTCTGCGCGCGCGCGCGCGTGTGTGTGTGCCTGTGTGCCTGTGTGGTTGTGTTGTGTGTGCGCGTGCGCGTGTGTGTGCTTCTGTGTGGCTGTGATTGCTTGATTGCAGTTTTGTGTTTGCGTGGTTATGTGTGTTGTTCTTTGCGTTTGGTTGTTCCGTCGCCATGCTGCACAGACGGTGCATGTTGCACCCCACAACACCTCACACATCCCATACGAACACACACACACACACACCTCACACATATGTTAGGTACGGGTATGAGGATGCGTGCTGGCTGCCAACGAAGAACTATGAGATTTGGGCGTTCCTTGGTCCAATGTGCTTGGCCATCCTTGTGAACATTGTGTTTTTCGTTCGCATCATGCGCTCGATCCTGAGCGTGAGCGTGGCTAATGCCGACAAGGCGACACGGCAGCGTTTCATCCGCGGGTGTGTGTGTGTGCTTGTGTGTGTGTGCTTGTGTGTGTGTGTGCTTGTGTGTATGTATGCGTGTGTGTTGCTTGTGTACCTTGTCCATGTTTGTGTATGCTTGGTGCGTGCATGCGTGCGTGTGTCTGCGTTGTGAGACATTGTGTGAGGTGATGCAACGATGCTTGTGTATGTGACACTGACATGTGCCTGTGCATGCCTGCTGTTTTGCTGCAGCGTGCGAGCGAGTGCGTCGTTCCTGTCCATCATGGGCGTGACGTGGGTGTTTGGGGCGCTTTTGTTTTCTGGTGCCGTTGCCGTCCAGTACCTGTTTACCATCTTCAACGTCTTCCAGGTGTGTATATGTGTGTGTGTGTGCACGTGTGTGTGCATGTGTGTGTGTGTGTGCACGTGTGTGTGTGCCTTGTGTGTTGGTTTTGTGAGATGCACGTGGGTACTCCAAGATGTGTTTTGTGTTCATGCGTGTTGTGCAGCAATAATCCACGTGATGGTGATGTCTGCGCTTGTTGTTCATGTGGCTTATTGCTTGCCTACATAATTCCTGGATCGTCTGCTCAACTCTCTTGTCTCTGGTCTCTATGCCACAACACAAACACACTCACACACACAAATTCACACACACACACACACACACACACACACACACACACACACACACACACACACACA